AAAGATACCATCCTCCTCCATCAAGGTACCCCTCAGTTAGAAAGATTACGTTGGGCCAGTGCTGTGGTACAGCAAGTTAAAGCCCCAGCCTGCAGTGCTGGCATCCCATACAGCTGCTTGTTCAAGTCCCAGCTACTCCATTTCAGATCCAGCTCTCTGCTATTGCGCCTGGGAAAGCAGTGGGAGATGGCCCAAGTCCTTGGGCCCTGCACGTACATGGAAGACCCAGAAGCAGCTCTTGGCTGGCTTTGGATTGGCTCAGCTTCAGCCATTGCGACCATTTGCGGAGTGAATCAGTGGATAGAAGACCTCTCTCTCTACCTCTGTGCCTTGGTTCCAGTCCCAGCCCCACCTTCAACCCAGGTTCCTGCTAACACGCACCTGGAAGCAACACAGGATGACTCAAGTGCTTGGGTCCCTGCCGCCCATGTGGAAGACCCTTGGTTCCTGGCTCCTAGTTCAGTGTGGCAGGTCCCTGGCTACTGCAGGGGGTGACCCAGCAGATAAACAGCTCTATTTTCTCTCTCAAATAATAAAGAAAAAGATAAAATTAAAAGATTATAATGGCCGGCGCCATAGCTCAATAGGCTAATCCTCTGCCTGTGGCGCCGGCACACAGGGTTCTAGTCCCAGTCAGGGCACCGGATTCTGTCCCAGTTGTCCCTCTTCCAGGCCAGTTCTCTGCCGTGGCCCAGGAGTGCAGTGGAGGATAGCCCAAGTGCTTGGGCCCTACACCTGCATGGGAGACCAGGAGAAGCACTTGGCTCCTGGCTTTGGATCAGCGCAGTGCGCCAGCCGCAGCACGCCGGCCACAGTGGCCATTGGAGGGTGAACCAACGGTAAAGGAAGGAAGACCTTTGTCTCTGTCTCTCTCTCTCTCACTGTCCACTCTGCCTGTCAAAAATAAAAAAAAATTTAAAAAAAAGATAATACAACTTGGCCAGCACCATGGCTCACTAGGCTAATCCTCTGCCTACGGCACCGGCACCCCAGGTTCTAGTCCCAGTTGGGGCACCGGATTCTGTCCTGGTTACTCTTCTTCCAGACCAGCTCTCTGCTGTGGCCCGGGAAGGCAGTGGAGGATGGCCCAAGTGCTTGGGCCCTGCACCCACATGGGAGACCAGGAGGAAGTGCCTGACTCCTGGCTTCGGATCGGCGCAGCACGCCGGCCGGAGCAGCCATTTGGGGGGTGAACCAACGGAAGGAAGACCTTTCTCTCAAACTCGGCCTGTCAAAAAAAAAAAAAAAAAAAAAAGAGGCCGGCGCCGTGGCTCAATAGGCTAATCCTCCAGCTAGCGGCGCCGGCACACCAGGTTCTAGTCCCAGTTGGGGCGCCAGATTCTGTCCCAGTTGCCCCCCTTCCAGGCCAGCTCTCTGCTGTGGCCCAGGAGTGCAGTGGAGGATGGCCCAAGTGCTTGGGCCCTGCACCCGCATGGGAGACCAGGAGAAGCACCTGGCTCCTGGCTTTGGATCGCGTGGTGCGCCAGCCACAGCACGCTGGCCACAGTGGCCACTGGAGGATGAACCAACGGTAAAGGAAGACCTTTGTCTCTGTCTCTCTCTCACTGTCCACTCTGCCTGTCAAAAACAAAACAAAATGTACAGTTTCATGTATGTCAATCATACCTCAATAAAGTAGTTTTAAAAGACAGTGCAAAAAAAAAGTGCACTGTAATTCAGTATTACCTTGTATTATGAAAAGAGGGTCTCCATTTTCAAAATATGTCCCTCTCCAGAGAATCGGTACCACAGATGCGTAGGTCTGGGATTCAATGCATGGACATAGCCTGCCTTAAGTATGGACATAAGCCTGCCGTAAGCAGGGGTCGTGTTCTGTGTTAGCCCACCTGGTGGTCCAGCCCTAGCCAACCGGGCACAATATAGACTCCAGACTGAAACACACCTGGCTGAATCCCTACTGCCCTCCTTAGCTGTCAAAGGGCATCAAAGCTGTTTAACACATCTGCTTCCCTTCCCGAGCGGCAGAAAAAGATTTTACTTACTTGAAAGGCAGAGTGAGAGTGAGTGAGGGAGAGGGGGAGAGAGAGGAGACCTTCCCTCCTGCTTTACTCCCCCAGATGCCCACAGCAGCCAGAGCAGGGCCAGGTCGAAGCCAGGAACCAGCAACTCCGTCTGGGTCTCTCCCACGGGTGGCAGGGACCAAACTTCTTGGGCCATTTTCTGCTGCCTCCCAGGGTGCCCATTGACAGGAAGCTGGATCAGAAGCATGGAGGAACCAGGACTCCAACCAGGCACTCCATGTGGGCTGTGGGCATCCCAAGCGGTGACTTAACCTGCCACACCACAGTACCCACCCCAACCTCACCACACCCTCTTCTTGGAATGCTTTGGCATCTCCACAGGTCTAACAACCTTCTACTCACCCATGCCTCAGGGGGTACTGACCTCTAGCCTCTCAGGAACCAAGTCCCTGATACCCCTTATCTACCCTTGCATTTATCCTGCATCCTGGCAAGTTCTCACCCCTTATTCTTATCCCTAATCCCTGGTCCAGAAAAGGAATGCAATGCTTATGGTATGGGTGAAGCCCCATGGGTAGAGCAGGCAGGCAAGCAAGCAGCATCAAGACTCTCCACTAAGGACAAGCAGCCCCATGGATATCCCCCTGAATACTGAAACACACGGCTGGCCAGCACCCTGCATCTTGAGGAACCAGGGTCTTGCAGTAGGCAGTGGGGTTCCTTAGGCTTCGAGGCTTGTGCTGTAGCTCTCACAGTCCTCTGGGTAGACCGGAAGCAAACCACCACTGGCCGCTCTTCCACTGCCTGCCCAGGGGGCGTACCCACTCAAGGAGTCCAGCTCCCAGTAGAGGAGGGGAGAGGGCCGCCCTTTGCTCTGAGCAGACATTGCGCGGCGCGGCTCCTCCAAGCGCAAGCCCAGGCGCCTGTGCAGGGCCCGTGGCCTTGCCTCTCTGAGCACCACAGCACAGCATGCAGCTCTCCACTTCTTGAGGATCCTGTGCTCCCTCCCAGAACCACCTTAGAAAAAAGGGCCAGAACCTCCCATGCTTATTTCCCAGGGCTTCAGCAGAGCCACAAGGCTCACCTCCCCACCTCACAGCAGGCGTCTGCAGCCAGGCCAGCCCCAGCCCTTCAGGCAAACTCAACTCGCTGCTGGGTGCAGCCAGCTTCCCAGGAGACACCGCCTGCCCTCCCCCAATTTCAGCAAGGCAGGGGGCACAGCCCCCCAGCACCCCTGTCCCATACCCTCAGGGGAGGTACTGAACAACCAGATAGAACTGAGAGGCCTGTCACCATCAGGTGCAGGGATAACGCCTTGCGGAGACAAACCAAGAACTCCACACCAGGGCCGCAGGAGGACCAGCATCAGCCTTCCCTCGCTACCCTCCAGAGTGCAGGCTTTCCTGTTCTTCTCTCTCCCCCAAAACAGAGGGGGTCCTGCCCTAGCCAAGCCCTAGGTGGACTGGGGCAAGGCAGTGGGCCTGCCAACCGCTGACAGCCCTGAGCCCCAGCAGCCATTCCGCCCATTCCGAGGCAGACTGGCAGCCAGGCGGCAAAGCCAGCCCCAAGCAGGGGCTCTGCGGTTCTGCCCCCAGACCTAGGGGAAGGGGCTCAGGGTGGATAACCGGCTGTGGTTTCCTGGGCAAGAGCATGCCAGGGCGGGGCAGGAAGGGTCCCTGGGCCCTGGAGTGACACAGCAGCGGACAGAGGCCTCCCGGGCAGCTCCGAGGCCTGCCTCCTTTCCATACCGGTTTTGGACTCAGCCCGCCGTCCCCCCACTCCCCCCAGCCTGGGGGGTTCACCCACCACCCGACCCCACTCAGGTCGTGCTCACCAGCCCATCCAGCCGCAGCCGCGGACTATTCCACAAAGCAGCTTCGTGCTCCCTCTTTTTAGCACACGGCCGGTGAACAAGAGATGTGTGTCGCGTCTCCTTGTGGGATTTCGCCTCCCCCCCACCAAAGGCCAGGTCCGGGGTCCCGACTGGGCTACCAGGGCAAAACCGTTGGCACGAGAACGAGGCGCCCAGGGTCTCCGGCCACCTCCTCCCCAACTCTAATTATTAATTACCGGCTCACCTCAGCCAAACCCAGGTTCTGGGGCTGTGAGGAAAACCTACCCACCGCCCATGACTGTAGCGCTAAGGTGCCGGGCTGCCGGCCCAGACCGCCAAGGTCACGGGGAGGGGTCGGGGTGGAGAGGGCAAGGGAGCTAGGGTGCCGCCCGCCGCCGGGCTGATCCCTCTCAGCGCCTGGTAAGCTGAGGCGGGGGTCCCGGCCACGCGGAAAATGAGCCTCGGGGCCGGGGCAGCAGGCGCGGCTTGCCCGCCACTGGACGCACGGACGGCGGCCGGCCCACCCCGAGCCCGGGAGGGCGGAGAGACAATGCCCGCCGGCGGGGCAGCCCAGGCCGCACGCCCCCAGCCGCGGGACTCGGCTGCTCCTCCCCGGGCCCAGGCCAGCGGCGGGAAGGCGCCGGGCGCGAGGGCCGGACGAGCACCCTCCCTGCGCCCACCTCGGCGCGCGCTTCGCCGGCCGGTCCCGAGCCGCAGACCCACCTCCTCCTCCAGGGCGGCGCCGGAGCCCGCGCCCGTGCCGGAACCGGTGCCCGTGCTGTGCTCGCCGTCCGGCTTCAAGGTGCTCATGGTGCTGGGGGCGGCGGCGAGGGGAAGGGAACGCGGAGCGCGAGCTGCGCCCGGCCCGCGGGGAGGTGGGCTAGGCGCGGCGAGCGGGCGCGGCGCGGCGCGGCGCGAGCAGTGCGAGCGACGGCTGCCGCGTCGGGCTGGGGTCACATCAAGTTTGGCCAGTGAGGGAGGCGGGAAGGGTGCGGCGGGCAAGGCACTGGGAACCCGAGCCGAGCCCGCGCGGCGGCCGCCTCCGCCTTTTCACTGCTACCGGCGAGTGCGCCCGCGGCGGCCGCAGCGGCGGCGGCGGCGGCTGCGGCGGCGGCAGCGGCGGGGGGCGGGCGCCGGGGGAGGGGGCGGGCGCCGGCGGGGGGCGGGGGGCGGGGGCCGGAACCGGCCTCAGCTGGGGCGCGGCCAGCCCCCTCCCCCGCCCTCCGCGAGGTCTCGGGGGAGCTCGCAGCCAATCCCCGCCGCCCCCGGCGGGCTCGCCCCGACCCGGGCCGCGCCGCGCCGGCTCCGGCGGGCCTGTGCCCGGGCCGGCTCGCTCCCTCGCGCTTCTCCTTCGCTCCCTTCCCCACGACAAAAGTTTTTAAACTTCGGTGAACTCGCCCAGGGAACTTTCTTAAAGGGGCCGCGCGCTGTCCCGCCCGCGGGACCTGCAGCCCAGAGCCAGGCGCCCCCGGGTCCCTGTGCATCCGCGCTCCAGAGCGCCCGCGGCGGGGCTCCGGGGTCGCCGGCGCCCTTTGTGTTCTGCTCGAGGGCTGGGGTGTCGCGTCCTCCTCGCGCCCCCACACACCCAGCCGCCCAGTCCAGGTCCACCCTCTCTCCCAGCGCCCGGCCGCGGGGGGCGGGGTTCTGGGACTGCTGCGGGGGAGGGGACCAACACCTGGGCTTTGGCCCTCACTCGGCCTTGTTTTGCTGCGTGACCTTGAGGAAACCACTTCCCCTCTCTGGCCTCAGGCTCCCGGCCCAGAAGGAGGGACTTGGGATCGCAGACTCCGGCCCCGGAGGCGAATCTTCGGGACCCTGTGGTTGTTAGCTCGGCGAGCAGGTCCGTCCGCCCGCCTCCTGGCGGCTTTGGGGTCTTCTCACTCCCTTGCTCCGGGGCCTGCGCACCCCTCACACTTTCCGGTGTTCCTGCGGGGGAGGGAGAGCAGCCCCGCGCGCGGCCCGGGCGGGGTCGTCTGGCTCCTAGCAGCCCCGGGTGGGTTTTCTTCCGTTGTGACACGCACCGCCGAGGGCTGGCCCGGGCCTCTGCAGTCCCCTTGTGGGAAGCCTGGCCGAGTCCCGGGGCCCTGAGCGCCCCGCTCCCGGACTCCTGCTGCGGCCCGGGAACTCCGGCCGGGAGCCTCCCGGGCGGGCGTCACCGTGTGTGGTCAACGCCCGCCCAGCGCCAGCGTTCTGTCCTGACTTAACCCGCCGAGTTAGATCTTAGCACCTGGGCTTTAGGCGGAAAGCGACGGGCGGTGGCAGTGGCCTTGGAAGAGCCGAGTGTGCATCCCAGACCTCGGACATGTGGCTCGGCCTCAGTGTGTCCACCTGCTCGGTGGGGCTCGCCCCACCGCGCCGGGAGTGCCGGGGCGGGGCTTGGTCTCCGCGGTAAATTGCAGAGTAAGTCTCCATCCCGTCCTGCGGGCTTTTACTCAGGTGAGTAAGTGGAGGCTAGGGATGGGCAACATTTTTTCCTAAGGACTTATTCGTTTACTTAGAAAAGCCAGCACCGCCACCTGCAGCGGTCGCCGTCCCAGGACCGCCCTGTGCTGGCAACCAGGCTGGAGCATGCTGGCTGCCCACCGCCCACCTCTGCAGCACTTGGTTCAGCCCAAGCGTGAGGCCGGCCAGCCCCTGATTGGCACTTCAGCTGACCTGGAGTTTGCAAGGTGCTTCCAGCCTCTGGTACCTCCAGATGGAACCAACCCTGTGAACCCATCCTGCACAGGCCCCAGGCCAATCTGGCTTTATCACATGCACACCATCACCATTCCCTAGAATAGATCCCATCCAGCCATGCTGTCTGCAGCTTGGGCCCAGGAATATTCCTGCTCCTCCTTGCCTTGGCTGTTTGGCTATACTGCATGAAAGGAATGTCTTCCCCCACCCCACCCCCACCTCCCAGTCAGTCCAAATTCCCCTCTCTTTCAGATCCTTTTCCAGGAGGAACAGCCTTGCCGGGCTTCTTAAACTCAGGTGGGCCCCTGTGGTTAATTCTGCCACATTTTCTGGACTGGAAAGCGGAGACCCAAAGAGGTGACAGGTGACACAGGGCAGCAGTTGACAGGAAACTGATGATGATTTGCGTTTTTCTTATGTGTGTGTGAGAGAGAGCACTCCTCTGCTGGTTCACACCCCAGATGCTGGCCCAAGTGGAAGCCGGCATCAGGGAGCTCAGCCTAGGTCTGTCCCTGAGTGCAGGAACTCAGTTACTTGAGCTGTCACGGCGACCTCTTGGGCTCTGCATCAGCAGGAACCTGGAGTCGGGGCTGGAGCTATCAAACCCAGACACTCTAATATGGGGGGGTGGGGGTATCTCAGTGGTGTCTTAACCATTAGGCTACATGCCCACCCCCCCAATGATTCTTTAAAAATGATGTTCATCATTTCTAAAACCAACTTCTTTTTCTCAGCCCATCAGAATATTGTATGTTATGGGATAAAGTATTGCCTAATTCTAGAATCAAAAATAAAGCCAGGGATTGGCATTGGGCATAGCAGTTAAGACACAACTTGGGATATGTGCCCTGTTGATTATGCTCTTTAAAATATAATAAGGGATGGGTCTTTGGCCTGGCATTGAAGACTGCTGTCAAGATGTTCACATCCTGTGTCAGTCCCTGGGTTTGATGACCAGTTCTGACTTCTACTCCAGCTTCCTGGTCAGCAACATTGATGGCACAGTGTTTCGGTTCCTGCCACCCATGTGGGAAATGTAGATTGAGTTCCTGGCTCCCACCTTTGGCCTGGCCAGCCCCAGCCATTGCAGCCATGTGGGCAGTGAGCCAGCATCTGGGAACTCTTCCTGTCTGAGTCTCAAAAAATAGAAAAATAAATAATTTTTTTAAGTATTATGAGGGCCAGTGTTGTGGCCCTGCAGCACCGGCATCCAATATGAGCACTGATTCATGTCCGGTTACACTTCTTGTCCAGCTCCCTGCTGATGGGCTGGGAAAGCAGTGGAAGGTGGTCCAAGTCCTTGGGCCCCGCATACACTTGGGAGACCCAGAGGAAGCTCCTGGCTCTTGGCTTCGGATCGGCCCAGCTCCCTCCATTGCAGCCATTTGGGGAGTGAACCAGTGGATGGAAGGCTCCCCCCCACCACCCCCGCTGTCTCCTCAGATAAAAAAAAATTTTTTTTAGATTTATTTATTTGAAAGGCAGAGTCACAGAGAGGCAAAGGCAGTCTGCCTGTGTTGGATACCCTGACCTCTGCACTAACTGAAGTTGTGGCTGGGTGGGAGCTTTGTGTTTATAATGATCTCCAAATTTCTTTGGGGTTGGAGATTCTCCCTTCGCAGGGGTTGTGGGGGACACAGGGAAGAAGACAGATGCTTCTACAAAGTGCTTAGGGGCTGGTTACCCATATAGGAGACTTTGTGAGGCATGAAGGCTCCTCGTATTGAGTCTGGCTTTCTGTGCAGTTGGTTTAGCTGCTGCTTATAGTGCTGGCATCCCATACTGAGTGCTGCTTCAACTCTCAGCTGCTCCCTTTCTGAGCCAGCTCCCTGCTAATGTGCCTCGAGAAAACAGCTGATGATGGCCCAAGAGCTTGGGTCCCTGCCACCCACGTGGGAGACGGATAAAATTCCTGGCTCCCAGTCCTGGGCATTTGGGGATTGAGCTAGTGGATGAGTGATTGCTCTGTTTCTCCCTTTCTCGTTGTCACTCTGCCTTTCAAATAAATAAATAAAAATTTTTTAAAAATGTATGCACAGAAAAAAAGACTACAGAGAAATACTGATAATCCTGCTCTCTAGATAGCAGGATTGTTTTCTATGTTATTTTGTAGCTTCCAGTATTCAACAGTGAGCACACATTAATATTATCATTGGGAAATATTTATTTATTTATTTATTTTTTATTTTTTTGACAGGCAGAGTGGACAGTGAGAGAGAGAGACAGAGAGAAAGGTCTTCCTTTGCCGTTGGTTCACCCTCCAATGGCCGCCGCGGCCGGCGCGCTGCGGCCTGCACACCGCGCTGATCCGATGGCAGGAGCCAGGAGCCAGGTGCTTTTTCCTGGTCTCCCATGGGGTGCAGGGCCCAAGTACTTGGGCCATCCTCCACTGTACTCCCTGGCCACAGCAGAGAGCTGGCCTGGAAGAGGGGCAACTGGGACAGAATCCGGCGCCCCGACCGGGACTAGAACCCGGTGTGCCGGCGCCTGTAGGCGGAGGATTAGCCTAGTGAGCCGCGGCGCCGGCCGGGAAATATTTTTTTAAAAAAGATTTGTTGGGGCTGGCGCTGTGGTGTAGTGGGTAAAGCCGCTGCCTAGCAGTCCCAGCATCCCATATGAGCGTTGGTTCAAGTCCCAGCTGCTCCACTTCCGCTCCAGCTCTCTGCTGTGGCCTGGGAAATCAGTGGAAGATGATCCAAGTCCTTGGGCCCCTGCAACCATGTGGGAGACCTAGATCAGCTGAGCTCCAGCCGTTGCGGCCAATTGGGGAATGAACCAGCAGATGGAAGACCTCTCTCTCTCTCTCTCTGCCTTTCCTTCTTTTGGTGTAACTCTGACTTTCAAATAAATAAATAAATCTTTTAAAATAAATAAATAAAGATTTGTTTCTGGGGCTGGTGCTGTGGTGTAGCTGGTAGAGCTGACACCTACAGTGCCAGCATCCCATATGGGCACCAGTTCCAGTTCCAGCTGCTCTACTTCTGATCCAGCTCCCTGCTAATGCACCTGGGAAAGCAGTGGAAGACGATCCAGGCCCTTGGGCCCCTGCACTGAAGTAGGAGACCTAGAAGAAGCTCTTAGCTCTTGGCTTCAGATCAGTCCATCTCTGGCTGTTACGGCCATTTGGGGAGTGAACCAGTGGATAAAAGATCTCTCTCTGTCTCTCACCCCATCTCTGTTTCTCCCTCTCTCTGTAATTCTGACTTACAAATAAATAAATCTATTTTGGTAAAAAGAGAAGCAAGAGAAGGGAAGAGTTCAGGGACCTTGGGCTGAAATGGCCCCATCTCTGATCATGAGCTGTACCCCCCACCATCACCACCATCACCCCCAGCCCCTGGCTCTAGGATCCAGGGCAATAATCAACCATTGAAGTGCTTGCTCATCACACCCCTTCCATGGTACACTAATGTCCCCACCTTATAGACATGTGCCTGGTCACAGAATCAGGATCCTCTTACAGAGCTGTATCCTGCTTTTCCCACCACCCATGCCATCCACCAGTGGCTGGGGCAGTTCCCCTGACACTGATGAGCCTCAGCTCTCTAGTCTATACCCAGGACGACAGGAAGATGATGGCAGATGGCGTATTAACTGCCTGGGCTCCCCTTCCGAGATCCTCTGCCCCCAAGGGGAACTTAAGCCAATAAAACATAGCTCGGGGTCCCCCTCTTCTACCTGCCTCCTACTGTCCCCGCTCTCCTGAGGGTAGAGGGCCCTGGGGTGGGGGTGGGGAGGATGTGTCCTGCAGTCGCCAGGCACATCCTCAGGACACTGGGTCCAGGGCAGCATTTCCCAAGCAGTGAGGCCACCTGGTTCCCTCCTCTCCTGTCAGAAGAAATATCAAAGGATGGTGCACCTGCCTACAATCAAAGAGATAGGGCCACCAGTGCCAGACAGTCCTGAAGCCCTAGGCACAGCCCAGTGTTTCAACAAAGGTCCATTGAATACCAACTACCAGTGATGCCCACTCTTCCCACTCTACTGGAGGGGCAGGGGCAAGGGCTGCACTCCAGCAGGGCCCACAGACGATCGGAGAGCTTCCACGTGGGTGGTACTGCAAGCCAAAGATCCCCAGGCTCAAGAGGACTGGAGAGGGCACCCTTTGAGCCCAGGGAAGGGCAGCAGGTGCTGGAAGGTTAGGAAGCCGGGGGATGGGTTCCAGGCTAAGGGATCTGGAATGTGAGATTCTTGGGGACATAGGGGAGCGTTGAACAGATTGCAAGAGGCTGGGCTACTGGTTGAGGGGAGACCTTCCGCTGCTTTCCCAGGCACATTAGCAGGGAGCTGGATCAGAAGTGGAGCAGCTGAGACTCAAACCAGCACCCGTATGGGATGCTGGTACTGCAGATGAAAGGCGCCACAGAGCTGGGCCCTCTTGCCTGTCTTTGAGCCACTTGTAAACCTGAATCCCAGGTTCAAGTTCAAGACAGGATTCCCAGAGAGGTCTGCGTCCAGGTGACCATGGCACCCTATGTGTCCATGGGCAGGCCGTGTGATCTAAGACTTGGTACAGCCACAGACACTGTGCAGGTTTCCAGAGTGTTAGATGAGATGCTGACGCTAAAAGTTTCTGCAGTGCACAGGAGGGGACTTCGCTTTGCTGCAGCCCCGGCTTTTCTGAGAGACAGTGCCCCCCTCCCCAGCCAGGTGTAATTTCACCTGTCCCCCACCACGCGGCTGGCATTACGGAGGGACAAGAACTATGTCTGCTTTTCATCTTCGAATCCTCGATGCCCTCCTGGCAGAGGGGGCTC